TGAATGTTTCTGATTTTTTTTTACTATGCAATTGCTATTATCAATACTGGAGACTAGCGGGACTGTCTCATAAAACTAAGAAGGTGGTGAAAAAATTGTCTTGTGAGCTATTTACCAAACTGCATTAGTCAAAATACTGCATTTTAAACCCTCTTAAGCTGTTATACATCATCATATAAGTCATCACAAAATAGTGCAGGCAAGTTCCTAAGAATTATGTTGACACAGGAAGTGCCAGGAAATGTGCAGGGAAATTTCCATCTCCCCATATATATCAGAAGTCACATCCTCCCATCAAAATTAACATATTATACTGCTAATATTTCAAGGTAATGTTTTCTCATGCGGAGGCTATATTTTATCCGTTAATATGAGCCATGTATTTTATTCCTTAAAAAAAAAAAAATCAATTACAGCATCAACAAACCATGATCCTAGATCTGACAAGTGAATGGTCAGCTTGTAAGGCAGCATTGCAATTGATCATGGCAGAAGCAGGTTTTTTCCTCTCTCTCTATATATAAATATATTAAAAGGAAAGCAGATTTTTGTGCATCTTGCAAAAGTATAGGGTTTGGATCCAGATACTGGATTGTATCCAGTGTTAGTCCTGCTCAGAGTAGACCCATTGAAATTAACATATATAACTAACTTAGGTCTGATCATTTCAATGGGCCACTCAGAGTTGTACTCTGAGTACCACTTTGTTGGGTCCTAAGTCATGCTTAGAGCAGACCTCCAGAAACCAGCAAAACTTACGAACTTAATAAAAGTGCAATCACATTTTTAAAAAAATCTGATAAAATTACACGACTTGAATCAAAATGACAGAGTGTTGTCGCACCTTAAAGACTAACAAATTCATAATTGTATTAGATTTAATAGACTACAGTGCACTTCATCAGAGGATTTTCCTGGACATAGCTAGGATTTGTCTGTAGGAAACAGTGTCCGGGCAGGAACCGCCACATAATGTCCAGGAAAATCCGGACGTATGGCAACTATGTCAGAAGTGTAGAATTTGGCAAAACTAAAAAACAAAACAAAACAAAACAAAACAAACCTCAGCAACTTTGCCGAAAAAGCTCATCAACTTTTGTGTCCTGATGTCATTTTTTGAAATATGGCAACCCTATGTGATGTGCTATATTTATTCAGTTCCACATATATAAATATATAATAAATATACAGTAAGGCAAGCCTGCCCAGATATGCAGAATGTTGAAGTGTGTTTTAATTTGATTTTAATTTGATTGCGGATTTTAATTTTTTTAACTATTTAAATATTATTGGGGTTTTTTTTTAAAAAAAGGGGGAAAAAAACCCATAATCAAATAGTGTGTAGATTTTATGAATTAAATAAATAAACAATATATATACATGGCGAGGAGGGGAGACAGTAAAAAATGAAATGAAACGAAATGTAAAAAGCGCAGCCATAATTAAGTGCATAGCAGTGTTCACTCACAAAACAGACAATGTTCAGAAATTGCTTTAGAGATTTGCTTGCAATAGGTACATTTTAAATGTGTGTGTGTGTGTGTGTGTGTGTGTGCGTGTGTGTGTGTGTTATAATATATTAAATGCCATAGCGTAGTGATAGAACATCCATTTTGCTTACAAAAGGTTGCAGGTTCAATTCCTGGCGTCTCCTGGTAGGGCTGAGAAAGACTCTTGCCTAAAATCCTGGTGAGCTGCTGTCAGTTGGTGTAGACAGTACTGAGGTAGATGGACCAAAGGTCTGACTCAGTATAAGGCAGATTCCTGTGTTCCTATAACTCATAGGCGCATGTCATTCTCTTATGCATGTTATCTGCCACAGAAGCGACTTATAATCAGGCTGGCACAGGCTGAAGATCAAACAAAGCACAAATCTCTGAGGCATTGCAGGAACCACCTTGGGCAAGCGAGGTGGTCCCCCACTCTTTGCCTAATGCTCATTCATGGCAGCAGATCCATGCATCGCCCCTTCCACCCTCTCTTAGCTGTTGTCCAGGGGCAGCAGCTGGACACTGCCCTGGTCTCTGTGGCAGTGCCCTCTCCCGAAACCAAAGGGACGCAAGCCAGTGACTTGTGTAGGTAACGCGCAGCTCACAAATGGAAAAGCGTAAGACACCGCAGTTGCATGCCCTAGATTCTTCCACATTCTCCCAAGCCAGTGCCGCCCTTTGACAGCCCATGAAGTGCTCCGGCCCCCTTCTCCCCGTGACAGACCTTCTAATTATCTCTACCACTTGCAAGATGAGGGCCTCTCTCTGCTCCCCATTCCTCTGCGATTCTGACAGTCAAACAAACTAGACCCATTAGAAGACCAGCACAACTCTGGCCTAAGGCAGGAACTGTGCGCAGCCACAAATCGTCTGGGTATTAAAAGTCGGTGCACAGGCAGCTTGCCCTCAGCTTCAGTGCTAAATTGCTGGTTGGGAGACATTCATTGCCATATATTGCATTTCCACTACATTCTGCTTTAATACTCTTCGTGCTGGAGTATGTAAGAAAAATTTTCAAGCCTGAGGTAGCAAGCAAACTGTACCCTTTCCTTAACTACCCAATTCCACTATATATAAAATATTTTATTTTTTTTATTTTTCCTACTATGTTAACCTTATATAAACCACTGAGCAAAAAAACAACTGAGTTGCTAAGTAGGAAAGGGTGCATCAGTCCATTTGGTGGAGGCTGCTGCAAGAGGGCAAATGGGGCGCTGCCCCAATAACCTCAGTCTGCCTTTAGCCAGTTCTCCACCTGCCTGCTTTCCTACTTACAACCGGCCCAGGGTCTGGCACTGTCTGCTGGCTTCCTTCCTCATCCTCAGCAGGGCTGGCCCTGCCAGGAGGCAGAATAAGACAGCTGCCTCAGGTGGAAGATGGTGGGTGACAAGGAGCAGCAACAAGATTTTTGAGGAAAGAGTTAAATGTGCTGTGTGTCCTGCCCTGAACGCAGTAAGTCAGCCTGCTGCCCTCAGGGGTAGTAAAGAAGGCTATCCTACCACAGTGCTGCTGCAACTGCCAGTCCAGTCCACTTCTGTATATAGAATGGCAGGGCATCATTTCATCATTTGCTTCAGGCAGCAAAATGTCTTGATCCAGCCCTGTTCCTTTTGTCACATTTCCACCCCTTGCATAACTCGGCAGAAAGGTGAATGGAGACTAAACCAGAATTGGTTGGGTCTATTATAATTATTATCATTATTTATTATTACCATTGATTTATTAATCTAAACCACCATCTCAAGGCGACTGACATATCAGATAATTAAAAGCAGTTAAAAACACAAGAACAAAAAAACAACAACACCCAAGACTAAAGGCCTAACAAGAGTACATGCATGGTGAAGAACCCTTTTTTTATCCAGCTAGGAATGCCTAGCAGAACAAATTTGTATTCAACTGCTTTTGGAAAGTGCAGAGAGTAGTTTCCTGTCCTATCCTGACAGTTATTATGACTTTTAAATTGGTACGAGAGTGTTTTAAATGTACGGTGCAAATGTGACCTAAGTTTTGACCTGCACATTAGACTAGAAGGCACCTATCAGATCAGGTTACACCTGCATTTAGAAACATGGGAATCTGCCATATACCAAGTCAGACCGTTGGTCTATCTAGCTCAGTATTATCGACACTGACTGGCAAAGGATATCCCGGTGACCTGAAATGTTTTATACTGTGATGCCAATAAGGGTATTTGATTTGATTCGATTTGACTGGCAAAGGCTCTCCAGCGTTTCCCAGCCCTTCCTGATGACGTTAGGGATGGAAACTGAACTCTAAGAAAAAGCAGAGTGCTACCACTGAAAAGGCCCTGTCAAAGGTTGCCTCCTGTCTCCCCTCTGAAGACTGTGGATTCTCCAGCAGAGCCTCTGATGCTAATTTAAGGTGTGGGCAATTTCACATGGGTAAAGGTGATTTTTTGATGCCTTGTCTCCAAGCCTTTTCACCTGGAGAAACAAAACTGAGAACCTTACATGAAAAACTGTGCAAAGAGGTCCTATTGCAGTGGGGGGGGAGAGAAGTTTTCTGGGTTTACTGTTAAGCAGATTTTGTGGAGAGGCTGGCAATAAATGGTTAAAACTCAACAGGGAATCAGGTGGGAAAGAGTTTCTGTGTCAAAGGATGGGTAAGAGCCACAGCATCGTGGAGAGAGGTGGATAATGTAATTTAGATCAGAATCCAAAGAGTACTCCAGAGATCAAGAGGCGGAGGGCAATACAGAAATTAGAATAGAAGATAAGAGGAAGAGAGTCTGTCTTTAATAAAATGAGGAGAGGAAGATATGAGCGAGAAGAGAGTTGATATATAAAAAAAGAGGGAGGGCTGAGAAGGAGCCAGTGCAAGCCAACATGAAATGGCAGGAAAGGGTGCTGACCTCAAGTTTGTTTAAGGTGACATGCTCTGCAGTGGGATGAAAGAAATACTTTGCATTTTTTGAAACGGCCAGGAACAAAGGAACGCTCTGCATCTCGAGAATCAATATCACATTTTATGCCTGCTGCACCCTTCACAAAGAATCAAGGCGACATTGATTCAAGTAAGTAAGAACTTCATTGAAAATTGACCTTTGAGTTCTTTTAGTGGAGAGGGACTGCCGGGTTGAAGAGGCGTCTGGGGTGGGGGGAGACTCTCCTTGGTAGCCTGTGCTGGTCAGGGATGTCAGGCGTGGTTGATGCTGAAAGGTTCACAGCTTCATTCCCTGTCACCACATCAGAAGATGGGCCACCTCTGTGCTGACACACACAATGGCCCCACAAAGTCTCTCTCTCTCTCTCTCTCTCCATGCTGGGGATGCAGGAGCTGAAGCAAAAATCCTGGCTGAATAAGGACTGATAGCTGGGGAGAGTGCCAAGGCCAGTCCGCACAAAAGCCAAAATGGAGGGAGAGCTAGCCATAAGGCAAATTGGCGTGACTCTCTTCCAGGAATATAAGAAACTGCCTTAGATACTGAGCTGGACCATGAGTCCATCTAGCTCCGAATTTCAGACAGGCATCTCTTCCAGTCTTACCTGGAGATGCTAGGGATCAAACCTGGGACCTTCTGCATGCAAAGCAGATGCTCTGCCATTGAGATGCAGGCCTTCCCTAGCTCTACAATATCCTTGTTAAGATGTGGCAACCAGAAACACACATATTAATCCAAGAATGATTGCACCATGCATACGTACTATATAACATTGTGACATTGCCAGCTTTATTTGGATTCCTTGCCTAGTGATGGTTAACCCTCTCTGAGTACAGAAACATAGGAAGCTGCCTATGTCAGGCCAGCTAGCTCAATACTGCCTACTATGACTGTCAGCAGCTCTCAAGGGTGTCAGTCAGGGAGTCAGGCAAGGGGGTTGACTTGGGAACATTCTGCATGCCAAGCAGATGCTCTACCACTGAGCTAGGGCCCTTGCCCTCTTCTAGGGAGAATTGAAATCAGGAGTGGCTGAAGCTGTCTCCAACTTAGCACTCCATTGATGGCAACCAATTTCAGAGAGATTCCAAGCCAAAAGTGAAGCGGAGCTGCGGGTGGTGTAGTAAGTTGTGGGAAACATGGAGTATTCTCTGCTCGGTCTTGACTTTGGATTTGTGCTCTACAAATGCATTGATGACATCAGACAAGGATATCTAGACAGTGGCGGAGCTTCATGCTCTGGCACCAGGGGGCGGAGAGCAGGCAGGGGCAGGGCTGGTGCATGTCCCGGGGGCATGGTGTGCTGCACACAGGGGCGTGGCATGTGTCCTGGGGGCGTGGTGTGCATCCTGGGGGCGTGGCACACCGCCTGCGGGGGCATGGTGCCCAGCACAGGTGGGGGAGCAACCACGATGGCACCCCACCGGGATCACGCTGCCGGGGGTGGTGCGCTCCCCCCACACTCCTCTTCCTCCGCCAGTGTATCTATAACAAGCTGTCAGGGCTCTAAAGCACAGGTCTGTAACAGGGTTCCCCAATTCCAGTAGGGAAGGCCTGAATGAGTCATCAAAGTTCCACACATGATATGAACGTGGGATGACTTCCACACAAACCACCACCAAAAAAGAAATTAAAAAATGAGTCTCCCTCTCTTCCCCTGGATTAAGAGAAATCTGGTGCTTAGAAGCTGGATGTAACCTTGTTTCATAAAACTGTTATATTGTCCACAGAGTGTGTGGAGCCTGAATGAGTAACCAAGGTTCAGCAGACAACAAACACAGGTTGGGTGTCAGGAAACTGAACCCAGGGTCAGCTGGACCTGGGTGTATTTATAGCCAGGCCAGCTGAGGGAAGACCAATGGACTGCTTCGAGGGTGGAGCTATGTTGGGTGTCATAACAGTAATGGGTTTTGATAAGACCAGAGATGTTTCTCAGGGAGAGACTGCAGGGGTCAAGATTGTTACAAATTTGGCTTCAAGTGAAATTTGCTGTTTGGAGGTTGCTCCTCAGGTGAAACATCTGAGGAATCTTAGGAGAATGGAAGTTGAAAGACACTTCAGAAGACCAGCCAAGTTTCTTGTGAGCAGTGGACATTTTGTTTTCAAATGGTGTTCAGCACGCTTGGTGGTCATTGATTTAATCGCTTCTGTGGTGGTCTGAAGGCTACCAAGACACATTTCTCAGTGGCCGACTCTGAAATGAGGAGCAATGTTGTGTCCGCTCACTCGCTTAGGGCAACGTTTGCCGAAATGAATGCATGATTGAGTTTATTGTTTAGCAAACAGTTCCGCAGACAGCGGAGGAACAGTTACAATAGCACTTTGCAAATAATTGCCGTTGGTTGAGAATTACTGTCTGCAATGCAGGAGAACTGCAAATAACTCACCAGACCAATAAAACGGCTTGCAAATATCGGGTGCTGTGTGCACATGTAAGAGAACAGGGGAAGTGTGCAATGTTTTCAAAGCACGCTTTGCAAATAATGAAACAAGATGCCATTGCAATTTGCTCTGAATAAAAATCCTCCGCCGAAAAGCATTCATCATACTTCTTGCCTTGTCTCCATGCGGCAAACCCAGACGTGGGGAAAGTTGCATGACCCGTTGAGTTGACATTAAAAGCTTTAAATTAAATTACATTGGCAGAAATCTTTAAAAATTGTCTTGGGGGTGGGGGAGCAGAACTCCTGACAAGGCATAACAGATGTTGAAAATTAGGAGCATTTAGGAAACATTATCATTGCTGTACACGGGGAAACGACTTTAATTGCCTTTTCAGGGTGCCTTGGAGGTGTGGTTTTGATTTAAGTGTGTTTTTCCCCCCCACTCCAAGTTCCCATCAGGATGTTTCAACTCAAAATGTATTGGTGGGGGTGATCAAACATTCTACCCAGTGTGTTCATAAATAAGAATGGCTAGAGTCCACAAAGTCCACTGGTCTGGTGAAACAAGATTATTTAAGAAAGGATCCACCTTCTTGCATACTCAAACACAGGGCTGATGAAACTGACACCCCACTACTCAACTTCTAAGTATGATAGACGGATCATAGCATAGACCTGAACCCTATAAAAAAAACCCAAAATATGAATTATAGTTTTCATTGATGTGGTACAGAAGAGTCTTGTGTGGCCACCTATTCTACTTTGGAGAGAACCCTATATCCCTATGTCCCTATTTCCCCTGCCAGCGCCAGCGCTGAGCTTGGGGAGGAGGATGAACCAGTGCTTGCCCAGAGTGGCCGTGGCTGTGAGGGAACATCCTGTTGCGTTTCCATGGCCACTGCTGCCAGCCTCCATCTTAGGCAGCTCATAGCGGTTGCTGGAGAGCAGGTGAGGAGGAAGAGAGGCTGCTGCTGCTGTTGCTGCTGCTGCTGCTGCTGCTGCTGAGGCCCAGCGCCGTGTGGCACAATGACTCTGAGGGGCAGGCAGAGGGGCAGGCAGAAAGGGGGACTAGAGGGGAGCACAAGTAGTCTTGTCCTTTTTTCTAATACTTTGTACATCCATGTCTAATCTTGCCCCTTTCTAAAATTTGCTTATCGGTTTGTGTTTTTCTTTTTGTAAATCTACCAAGGAATAAAATAAAATCAGGATTAAGGGGTCTACTCAGGACTCTGGAGGGCATGTGTGTTGTGTCCCATTGTGTCTCACCCTTCTTCTGAAGGGTGGGGACAAAAAATGGGGGTGTTGAGGAGGGTCAGTTGGGGGGTGGGAGTGAGGAATGTTGGAGAGTATGACAGTGTGCTCTCCCCACTTGTGATTCACAGTAACTGGTACTGGAAGGCCTATTGTCTCCAATATTGAATACTGAAAAACAGAATACATTGTGGATTTTGTCTAATGCTCTTTTCAAGTCAACACTACATCTCCTGGAAGTTTGGCTCTGTTCTATGTGAAGAAATGCCTCCTTTGACTCTCCTGAATTTTCCTGCATTCAGCTTTGGTGGATGCCCCCAGGCTCTGGTATTACAAGAGCTGCTGCCAGTCAGTGTAGACAGTATGGAGCTTAGGTGGGCCATTGGCCTGACTTCCCACATTCCTAGTCTTGAATTGGAGCACTTATTCAGGCTTTCCAGTTTAAGTTTTGCTTTGATGGCCCCTCCGCCCAGCTTTCCCCCTCCCTCGTGGCCACCTGTCCTGCTTGCACAGCCATCTATCATTAAGCTCTAGGTAGTGTGGTAAATGATTTGCTATGCCTTTGCTTTTCAGGTTGAAGCTCTCTCCTTCTGCCACCCCCTCCACCACCCCCTGTGGCTCACTCCTTCATTTGATCTCAGATTTGGCAGCTAGTTAAGTCAGAAACCACGAAGTATTTCCCCACCCCCCAACCATGTGCCTATTTCTGGGTAAATCAAAGCTCACCCCAAAACCCCAGCACACAAATTATACTTCCCATTAAAATCATCATCACCATAGTATTTGAGGTTAGTAAAACATATTGCTGGGGCTATAAAACACTCTCAACTAGTATTCCAAATGTCTCGCCTCGAGCTAGCACTTAAATTAAAGTTTGAGACAGCTGGCACTGAAATCAGAATAAACAGTTTTCCACAAAAGGGGGCCGGTGAACCACGATTATTGTTTTCATAATTTACTGTCAACGTACATTAGCAGGGTCTGATCCACCTCAAGAGCTCATCAGCTTTCAACAGGTGAGCCAGTTCAACAGGGAAAGAGGCAGCCTTAAATTATCCCCAAAATAATTGGATCTCTAATAAGCATTGCATAAAACAGCAAGGCTTCTGTAATTTCCATAATCTGGGTTTAATTTGTTTGCTCATTTCATGGGAGGCTTTGATTGTTTCAGAACAAGGGTTGTGTTGCCATCTCCCACAGACAACTAGGGGATCTAGATGGCTCAGGGACAACTCTGAGGTCACAGCTTGGGTGGCATTTGGTGAATCGGAACGAGAGAGAGAGAAACAGCATTACTTATTGCTTATTTGTTTTTTGAATTTATACTCTGCCCTTCCTCCACAAGGATTCAAGGGTGGCAAGTATCTACCACTAAGAAAGGAACCGAGAAATCTGCCTTATACAGAGTCAAACCCTTGCTTTATATTGACTACACTGACTGGCAGCAGCTGTCCAGTGTTTTCAGACAGGGGACATTCCCAGACCTACAGTAGTGGGTTGCATAACAGCTGAGTCACTCACTGCTGCATACCAGGAGTGAGAAGGGATGTGCGGAGGTCAGAGTGGTGCAAATGCAGTGGCAGAGCCAATCTGGTGCTCCTGCACGCCACTGCACTGTGCTGACTCCCCGCCCCCAGCGCCTCATTCTTCCCCTACGCCTCCAAGGGTAAACAGCAACAATGCAGTTGTCATGAGGTCAGGTGACCACCACTGCTCCACCAACCACCACATCTCCTGGTCCAGTCCCACTGTGAGATGCCAGGGACTGAAACGAAGACTGGGAGTTGTTAAGAGTCTCCTTATTCACTGAGCTACAATTCCCATAGTTGTTTAAAAACCATTTCCTGTTCCCAATCAATTTTGGGAATTGTCGCTCTCCGCACCCTTAACAAAGTACAATTCCAATGATTCTTTAGAAGTAGCTGTGTCTGGTAGTTCTTCTAATGCAAAGTTCAGATAGGGCCAGATGCTACTGCTCTTCCCATGATAAAAAGGTAAAGGTAAAGGACTCCTGACAGTTAAGTCCAGTCGCAAACGACTCTGGGGTTGCGACGCTCATCTCACTTTACTGGCCGAGGGAGCCGACGTTTGTCTTTCCGGGTCATGTGGCCAGCATGACTAAGCCGCTTCTGGCGAACCAGAGCAGCACACGGAAACACCGTTTACCTTTCCGCCAGAGCAGTACCTATTTATCTACTTGCACTTTGACGTGCTTTCAAACTGCTAGGTCGGCAGGAGCTGGGACTGAGCAACAGGAGCTCACCCTGTCACTGGGGTTCAAAACGTCAACCTTCCGATCGCCAAGCCCTAGGCTCAGTGGTTTAGACCACAGCACCACCCACATCCCTCTTCCCACAATAGGAAT